GGCAATATGAGAAACGGTGAGTAAGAGAGGCAGTAGTGGCTTAAACAACGGTAGCATAGAGGAAAGGGGAAAAAGGGAAGAAGACCCTACACATTGGTGTGCCTACTAATGCGTGACATGCACGAAGTACAGGGGAGTCGCCAACCGGTCGTGAACTCTCTAGGTCGAAGTGGAATGATGTGTTACTTTAGTGAGGAGCATTATTGGGAGCTATCTCTATTAGCATGGCAGAGTAGTGCTGATTTCCTGCTACCAGAATAGCAGAGGAAAATTAATCGAAATAACTCATATGTTCCGTTGTCTTTGTTTTGTTCTTTGGTTTCACTTTAACTCGCCCCGTTTTAGACGTACCCATTACTGACTCTGTTAAGACGCCCGTACGCGGTGTACTCGAGCAGGCCAGCCAATCGGGCCACTCAAGACGGTTGGGTGACCAATATGTGGCTTGGGGATGGGGTACATCCAAGCCTATGAAATGGCGCGATCCTACTGGCTACGGAGGGATGACAAATCCGTCAGTAGAGTTGTGGGGATAAGCCCACATTTTGCACAAACAAGTGGTTGCTCAGGCGACTACTATTGACAAATAAAGCGCCACCTACTCTCGCATCTTGTCTTCTCCCTGACTTAAAGGGGCCTCAATGAAACTACAGCAAGAGCAGGATAGGACAGCCTAATGTGGAGCCAGTAGCAAACCTGATGGACAAACCAACTGAATGGAGGAATTCCACCGCCTCTGTCAAACGAGCACTAGAGGCAAAAATGTCTCCTCAAGCTTATATTTTTATCATTAAGCTAAGATCATTTACACATGCTTACTGCATGTCATACTATCCCTTTTTGAGAGAAACATTTTCACAGAGATAGTATAACTAGCCAAATTCCGAAGGACAATGTGGTGGTAGCAGATGCTGGATCGTTTACTCACAGTACTGGAGTTCTGACTCCGAACCAGAATTAGATGCGCTTCTTAGTCTGTGGTGAGCACGGCGACACTTATGACGCTTGCCCACTGCTTCGCTGATCCTTCAGGAGCAACGATGCTAGACAAGGACGGAAGCACCGTCATTAGATTGGCCGAAGAGACGACTGCCTATCATTCACATTATTTTGTTTCAGGCCATAAAATGTACCTTTGAAGTAACACTACTAGAGAAGGAGTAGCTGGGGTGGTGAACTTACAGAGCCATTCATGTTGAACAAAACGAATAATCGCTTGCACCTCTCAAAATCGACCGTTCTTTTTTAAACTGTTGGAATAGAGGTTCGGACACACCCTTGTGGCTTATAACAGGTTTGGGAGCATCTAGTTTGCTAAAATGGATTAAAATTGGAAAGACGGGACATTCACGGTGTGCAGTAGTATGAGTTGTCAGCAGAGCACACAAAGATGTTTGGACCGTTTGTGGAGAAGAAATTGGAACTGGGTTGTACTCGCATGCAGACTTAGAGCGGTTGAGGCAGTGAAATGCGCCATTCACTGTAAGCAGAGCTGAGAAAACAGTTTTGATTTCCATCAGCACTCCAGTTATGAGGGCGAGACTGATGACAAACTTGTGGGCACGCAAATTTGACGTGTCCCAGGCTGGTTTCCACGTGCGCCATGCGTACGAACCACTGGGTCATCGTTGACGTCCACTCTGCTTCGCTTCGCTACATGCCGCGACTACAGCATCCCAGATTTGGGATTTTCAAACCAAGCAGGATTGAAAACCCAAAGTTTGTTGTGCTTTACATGACATGAAATTAAATGAAGCAGCAGTACCCATTGGATGCAAACATAACAGAGGTGGCAAAGCACCATGCCTGTAGTCACCAAGATTGAACAAAAGAGGAGGGAGTTGAATGAAACTCGATGCTCACCTCTCAAAAGCCATTCCAATTGCCCGACTAATCTCGGTAGCATTCTTAGTGAATTTTTGTAGTCTTTAAACATGCACGAGGAGTGAACTCGGTGTAGTAGGCTAATGGTAATCGGCCCTTCCTCTCGACACCACGACTTGAAAGCCTACCAATTGGATTAACAGAGATCGGACGGCATCAGATCCTTTCCATCCGGCTGTAATTTGCCCATAGCGCGAAATTGGCAGCATCTTCATACAAATTGTTTTAGGTTAGAAAAAAGAGCAATTTAATGAAAATAGGAAGCCCACAAGTTAAATGCACGGCAGTAAACGAAGTGAAGGGGTGAAACGGCCTCAACTCGAATGATTTGTTTAACATACTAAAGGCAGTAGGTGGTTTTGTTCTGATAGGTGTCATTTCGTGAAATCATGAGAAATCGTGCAACATACGTGCCTACTCTTCACCAGTTAAGCTAGTCCAGTCCAGGATTTACAGAAGACTGGTGGGCGCAGATTATCGTAATTCATGTAGGCGTGTAGCGAGATACGATTTCTGAAGTCCAGATGGAATGCTCATGACGAAAGGATACAACTCTTCATTGAGGGGTGTAGATTAGCTTCGCCTGATTTTGTGGGTCCTGCTACATTAATGCAGGTTTTACTCACCGAGATAATTCAAAAGTCAAATCCACGGTAACTTCCTTGGGTTTATGTTATTGACTCCACCAATTTGTAAAATGATTACCAAAACTCTGGAAAATAACATATTTGTTTACTGAGACGACCGTATAAACTCAACCGAACCAGCTTGAACGTTCCATCAACTATTAGGACAAATGTGGACTTTTTAGTTTACCTTACGTTACTATGCCAGCCGAAGGTTTGAATTCACAGATCAGAGCATCATTGATGAAGAGGGCAATTTCCTCAATGGAACATACTCGGGTGATAGTACTTCATGTCATCGTCCGCCCATTGTATATTCAGACAACTGCTACATTGACAACCATCGGTTTTCACCCTCACACCAAGCCGTGGCCATGTAGAATGGACGTACCCACTGGATTTACCGGTAGAGATTCAGAGGGACTTTCTTATAGTCGGTGAAACCCGATATTATTGGTGCAGCAGTAGGGTACTTATATGGCTCACGATAGGAGTTGAGGAGGAGAATCACCTACTCCCCTACCCAAGCGCGATGCATTGTTTGAGCAATACCACCCTCTCCATCCACCATAATGCTTGGATGACAACCTTAAAAAGGCGATTCTATATCCGCGGTCCATTTAAGTCATTCAGCAGAGCCATTTTGGCCATTACATCCTTTTGCTTTGTCGGACACCACAGAAGCAGTGGCGTGAAGTAACCTCCATTGGAAAGGCCAGGCTTCAGTCCTCCACATAGCTCTGCAAACAACATACTCGCCTACTTTCCATCACTTAAGCTGGTCCTTTAAACTGTCTGAGTCGCTGCATTGGCTCCAGCTCATCTTATGACGCAGTTTCTTTTCCCCTCACACCGCATAGTAATTTTAGGGGAGTCCATCTTTCTCTCTTGCGTTTAAATCCGCGTATATTCGCATTACGGAATAGAAAGCTAGCGAATAAAGTTGACTCAAACTGCTCCGAGTCGAAGTTCAGCTTTTATTCACCGTTACCGCTTTCAAATCTCAGGGCACTTCAAAGAGGCTATAAATCTTGCCTTAAAGTGGAGTTTCGCCGAGACAGCTAGGACGCAATTGGAATTACACGATGAAACAACCATTTGTGATGACGCAGATTCGAGGCTCACAAACGCCACTGACTTGTCACTCCATGCAAAATGAAGTGTCAATTGCTCACCGTAGGTGGACCCCATTTTTACAACTAGTGCTACCTATAATAGCTTATTTATTACCTCCAATAACTTAATTGTTGCCAGGGCAAAATATCACCATATTTGGCTTTTACAGCGATGGTTAAAGAGACCGGATGAGTCTCACATAAATCTGTCATTCATGGCAAAGATTTGTGCCTGATCCACCCTTTCAAATCCCTCATTTTAAAGTGTAAATGGTATGTAGGAAATGAATTTGCATTTTTAAGTAGGTAAGTCGGTACTGCTCTCTCCCACCTCTGTCGCCATACTCGTGAACGAGGAGGACAGGTTTAATGGAGGGGTACAGAAATCATGGTTTAAGCATGTTCAGCGTGCGTTTCCTCCTCAAACAAAGCCCCTCGCCCAAAAGGCACATTCGCACAGACGCATTTTAGAAACACTTCACAAGTGCTTATGCATCGAATTGCCTGAATAACAGTGGAAAACCTCCCAAATTTCATCAGCAAGCTGCTGCTCCTACAGTCTGTTGCCACATTAATTACCTTTCACGGTGTGGTCAACCACCTGCACTGTGATAATTGCAACATACGAATTTGTGTGCTTTCAGCGCATTATTTAAAGTCAAGAAAGTGTGTGGTCGACTGTCCAGATGTTCTTCTTCATTCGTTAAGCTGAATACATGGCCACATTCAACAAGTCAATTTTGTTCCCCAATTCTGGTGGAGGATGCTTGTGCTCGTACCAAAGACGCTGAAAGTGGAATTAGGAATGGTTTTACTCGACCTCAATGCACCGCCCCAACCTAGTTTCTACACGCTGACAGCGGAAACTGTGGTTAAAGGAAAAGAAAAAGCCTCTGGACTGGTATCAGCTTCCTGTAGCCAAAGCGCGGGTGCTCTCTTCTGATCTCAATTTGCTGTCAGTCACAACGTATTTGTCGTTGTAACAGCACTCCTTAGGGGCGTTCACAGTGCGCACTGAGAGGAGGTCGAACAGTATCAACCACAGCAAAGAAGAATGACAAATGCAGAAGATGGAGATGGATTAGTGAGAGTCGGCACTGTGTGCGAGGAGGGGTGTGTGAGTGAATTGGTGTAGGTGTTACTTGAGGCAGGATGCATGCGAAGATCGGCCAACTTCATCGGTGATGAAGACGTCGACTGACAGTGCATCAGTAACACGTGGTGGAGTAGTAGGCACTGGTTCTCAATGTAAAGAACTGCCATTGTGCTTCATCGCGAAGCAGTTCCCACTGTCCGTTAACAGTGGCGAACAATTGGTAAGCATCTGAATGTTCACAGAATGCTCTTTGTTTTGACGAGGCATTCTATTTGGTTTCACTCAGCAATAATTTATGAAAATGTTTTCCTCATATATTCACATATGGCCAAATTCTCTCAACACAATTATGCAAGCTAAGAAGTGTGCTAAACACATTCCACAACGAGCGAGGTAGTCGCAGTTGGCACAGCTACCACCAACTCGGTGTGAATTGGAAATAAGTGTACCTCACATTCCCAAATGTTTCTGTTTACGGCCTTTTGCTAGCAATCTACCTACTTCTCGAAATTTTATCCTGCATGATGAAGTGGCAATAAAACAGTCTTTTGAGGGTCCAGATGAATGTGTGTGTGTGTGTGTGTGTGTGTGTGGGTGTGTGGTGTGGGGGTGGTACAATTGAGTCAGGTGATTTGGCAAACGCATCAGTCATGCATGTGTGGGTGTAGGCGCATGAAGAGGAGCTATTAATGGATTTTACCACAAATAGTTGTCGATGATAAGCACACACAGACTGAAATCGGAATGAAGTGAGCAAGAACAGAATGAGAGCTTATCATTGCATTGCTTGGAACAAGCGGCTGGTCATTTGAATGCACTCCTGATGTTCACTTGTGCTTGCAGAAACTTTCACGCTTGCAGCATCTGAAGTGCCCTGAAAGCAAAACAGTGAGGCCAGCTGTCGAAGAGGGCCATATTCCCTTCAGGCTGTGGAAACGAAATGCATCAGTAAAGAGGAATCACCGTGGAGTAGAAGTAGGCGATTGCCTTTCAATGCATGACAGATGATTCTGTTTAGACACCTGCAATGACTGCACATTCGTGTGCGGCAATTCATGTTTCTTCTCCATTCATCGCTGCAGGTGATAGGTGACAAAGAGTGATAGCACGGGCAGGCGGCAAGTGGGTTCAGCAGCATGTAGTGCCTCAAGAGAGTTTGATGTGTGAAGTAAAGTTCAGGCGAATTGGATGATGCTTTTAGTCATTGTGGAGGTGGTGTGGACTGCAAGTAGTTAGAGAGGAAACGGCAGAGGAAGGACTGCCACCTGAACAAATCATCGTCTACCCACAAAATTGACAGTCGCATGCCTCCGCCGACGAAGGAAATAGTGGCACATTTCGAAATACGTGGTGGACACAAACCGCACAGTGTGCATTACGCTTCTGTAAGAGTGAAATAGAAATGACACAACTCACACAGCTTTGTCAATTTTGCAGCTCAATTGGAGTGGATCGAGCAAGTTGTGCAGTCCACGCCTACCAAATTCCTTTTTCTAATTGCTGAACACACGCCACCATCTCAATCACGGAAGGTTTGATGGGGTTTGAAATTTGGCTGTGTGGGCCAGAATAACAGTGATGAAATAACCCCGTAATCTGATGCGAAACGCATGTGCCACAGAAAGTTGGCAGAGTCGTAAATCGAGGCACCTGATTCATGTAGTGTTTGAAACGGAATGAGGTGGTAGTGTGTTGCAGCTCATCCGTGCAGCATGGTGCACGCAATTTGGGGCAACGCTTCTGGTGTACATGACAACTCCAACAGACGACAACGGATGCACTACAACTAACAAAGGCGTCCCTCATTTGTCGAATGTTCTCCTGCAAGACCTCACAACCATATTAAGCTAATTGTGGGATGAAGGACATCTCGTCTAAACGGATCAAGCTAAATGAACTCCACGCTCTACACAACTCAGTTTGCTTCTCAATGCTTCTGTTGCACCAATCGTGTTGGCGGCAACGCTTTTAACATTCAAAGCCGGAGAGAAGACAGGGTTAGTCGATCGTAGACAGGAGTGCCAACAATGCAGCAGTTGAGGAGGGCAGGCAGTATTGTATAGGGGTAGTTCTTGGGGGGTCGTTCACCAACCTCGCAAGAGCATTACCATCGCCATACATGATGCAGCTGCCTGCATGTGGAATGCCAGCAACCA